TAATCTCTAAAGCAAGCATCAATATGCAATTTGAAAAAGAAAAAAAAACTGCTAGCCTTAAGTATTAAACTTTGGCATCTCATGTTCTTGGCACAAACATACTTTTTTTGTAATTGGTTATATATATATATATATATTATTTATTTTATTTTATTTTTTGCTAAAGTCAATATAGGGACCATAATATTATCAAGACTTAGGAGAGGCCTTTTTAAAAACAAACAAACAAAAAAAACTAGTAGAATACTTATATACTTATAGTAGTATACTTAGTATAGTATACTTATAGTAATACATATAATAGTAGAATGCAATACACTAGCAACCAAATAGGTACACTATTTATTTATTTAAGTTATGGATTTTCATTTATGGTGAACAAATTTAGAGTGAAGTGAAATGTCATTGCATTTATGACAATTTTTTGTAAAAATTGAAAAAGCGATATGCGAAACAACTAATGGAAAATTGTTTGCTAGGGACAGTGTTAATTGACAAAAAAAAATTCAATATTATACAAAAATACTGAATATGTTGAAACTATACTGATTAAATAAGAATTGAGTATTTTAAATGTTATTTTAGCCTAGAATAATGTAAGGATATTGCATGTTGCATACAGAGACATCAAATGATTGTGTGTGTGTGTGTTTTTGATAGCAGAGATTGTCTTTTTGAACTCAGATTTATTTATCTGAACAATATGTTACTGTTTTTACTTATCGATTTTTATATCTATGTATGCATCATAGTAAATACTGTGCACATACTGCGAACATCAGCAACCCGTATAGAGCACTGTTTCCATGTTGAGTGATGGAACATGTTGCTCCTTTCAGTTTGAGCTGGTTAGGACACTCCCCGAGAGATGATTATCATGGAGCATGAGCAGTTCTTATTTAGAACAGCATCATTAAAGTACTGCTGTGGGGAAATATCCATGGGCATAGTCAAAGAACTGCATATGTCAAGTCATCTGATGGAAGGGGAAAAAGTGCATCAGCAGTGCAGGGACGATGGACAAATATGCCCACCATATCCATTGCGGCTCAATCATTACTCTGCTTTTAAAGCAGCTCTGACAGTAAAAGGTCTAACTTGCCTCAGGCTCTTCCAAGGGACAGTTTTTTTTAACGTTTTATGTTTCGCTTGCATTACGCTCTCACTCTTGGGTACTTTTGGATAAATCGCATATTTCTATAATCCCACAATATTTCATCCCTCATGCTACGCAGCCTCGATTTTTAGGTGATCTGGGCCAAATGTATTGCCAAATGAACAGGAATTAGCATTCGAATGGGTGACAAATTCAATCAAGAGACTTTTAACATGCATAAGAGTGACATAACTTGAAATGAATGTAGAATCAAACCCAAAGACTGTAAAAGCAGGCTTATGCCAGCATTGATGCCATGTGTCATTCTGATAAAACATCTCTAAGTGACTGTTTGAAGAGGTGCTGTTTCATATGTGTGTGGGATCTGGCAGGTTCAGTACTCTTGCCCTGTTAGTCATACTGTGGGGGCATTTGCACTTTATTTGCCTTTATGAAAATGAATAAAATACTCTTAAGATCTTATTTTCACCTAGTAGCAAGGTGATTTTGTAAACATGGTCAACAAACTTTTTTTATTCTCATAGAAATGTATTGCCAAATGAACAGGAATTAGCATTCGAATGGGTGACAAATTCAATCAAGAGACTTTTAACATGCATAAGAGTGACATAACTTGAAATTAATGTAGAATCAAACCCAAAAGACTGTAAAAGCAGGCTTATGCCAGCACTGATGCCATGTGTCATTCTGATAAAACATCTCTAAGTGACTGTTTGAAGAGGTGCTGTTTCATATGTGTGTGGGATCTGGCAGGTTCAGTACTCTTGCCCTGTTAGTCATACTGTGGGGGCATTTGCACTTTATTTGCCTTTATGAAAATGAATAAAATACTCTTAAGATCTTATTTTCACCTAGTAGCAAGGTGATTTTGTAAACATGGTCAACAAACTTTTTTTATTCTCATAGATGGCTGGGTCAGCTTTTTTCATTATTTGTATGAAAATGCTTTTACATGCACAGTCACGTACTGGATTTTTTTTTGCAGGGAAGGTCAGGCCCGCTATGTGCGGTCACCTAGGGTCCCAACATTCGCAACATTCATTGAAGTGAAAACATCTCTAAGTGACTGTTTGAAGAGGTGCTGTTTCATATGTGTGTGGGATCTGGCAGGTTCAGTACTCTTGCCCTGTTAGTCATACTGTGGGGGCACTTGCACTTTATTTGCCTTTATGAAAATGAATAAAATACTCTAAGATCTTATTTTCACCTAGTAGAAAGGTGATTTTGTAAACATGGCCAACAAACTTTTTTTATTCTCATAGATGGCTGGGTCAGCTTTTTTCATTATTTGTATGAAAATGCTTTTACATGCACAGTCACGTACTGGATTTTTTTTTGCAGGGAAGGTCAGGCCCGATATGTGCGGTCACCTAGGGTCCCAACATTCGCAACATTCATTGAAGTGAATTGTACTGTGGTGTCATCCAGTGGCTAGTCATTATTAAACGTGGAAAGGACAGACTGGAGGGTTGTGCACACATGAACAGGCAGAGAGGATGTTTAGACACTGTGCTCATCAAATAAGATTCATATTAAAGCTTCATTTGCTGCCCATGAGCCTTTTCCATTGAATGGGAAAGTTTTGATATAAGCTGTGGGAGTTAAAATAAAAAAAAAAAGCGTAAAAAATTATATCCCTTACATAACTCATAATGATATGGGGTTATGAATTATGCAAGGGATAAAATGCAGTCAAATGGTCATTATCATAAAATGTATGATGTGATCAGGATCTTAAAGGGGTTTCTTTATGATAATGAACAGCTGACTGTACATTATCCCTTTTATTACATGGCTACTTAGCAAATAAATAAAAAAATGGCTTAATTAATTTGAGTTGAAATTGTTTAATTATATGAGATGCAGAGTGAGACCACAATATGCCCAGATTAACCAATCAGAATAAAGTATTCCAGAGTAATAAATTATTTTTACACTTCCATTTCTGTAAAGATTTTGCATGTTGCAAGTCCTTAAGCTAAGTTTAATTGATTTTAATTTAACATTTTTAAATTATTGATGCAAAGGTAAAATGCACCAATAACAACACATCTTAATCTTCCAGCATGAGCAATTTAATGCATAATCAAAAAGAAGTCTAATAATGAAGCCTGACAAAATTGTCAGTGGATCTTCCCTTGGGTTCAATGATGTTTTACATTACATGAAACAGATCAATACTAGGTCTGGCAGTGAGAGCAGAGAAGAAAACCTCAGTACTGCATTACCCCTTAAACAGACAGTCTCTGCAGACACTTATCTGCAAAATCAGGGCAAAATGTCGTCTTTATAAAGTGCTGTTACCAAACTCCTTGTGTCACAAAGATGACATGCATGGTTCAAACAGTGACCGAGCACTATGGTGTTCAAATTGGATGCACTTTGCTCATCTTTTAAAGATTTACAGCAAAGTGTTGTTGCTTTAATCAGGGAAGTGGCCCTTGCTTTGGTGACTCATAGATTTGGGTTTTGTGATCATCTTGTAGTGGGAATGATTGAGCTGTGTCAGACTTTCTGTGGGGAATTTAGTCAAGAAACATTGAGCCTCAAAGGGGCCCACCTCCCTGAAGACCTAGACATCACAGAAGAGTGGCAAGTCTCCGGCTGAACAAAAGTAGGTCATTAAAGTAGATTAATGCAGTAAATCAAAGTGTGGAGCATCCTGTTAATGAACACTGAACACTGCTCTTTTGTTTTGTAGGAAAACAATTATGTGAAAGACAGCATTATCAAAATTACAAGGAACCTGTTATTTAAGCAGGTTATGAATCTTGTAACATGGTCCTTTAGAAGATGCATTATGTGCAAAAATATTTTCCTTATAATGTTACTTTGTTGGTAAATAGGCACATTTTAGGTACATTGTGTTGCTGCAATGCCTATTTATAATCAATAGAAGGTTTATGTTCAATTATTAATAGTTGGCTAGATTGGAATAGATTTTTGGTGCATACACTCTAAACATGTTCTTTATTGGAATCAATGGTTCCATAAAGAAGCTTTAACATCCATGAAACATTTCCATTGCACAAAAAGAGTGGCATAAATAGTTATTTTAGTGGAAAATGGTTCCTCAGATTATTAAAATGTTCTTCAAACTAAGAAAAAAATAGTTCTTTAAAGAACTGCTCACTGAATGTTTCATCTGTGGCATTTAAACAACAACCACCTTTTAGAACCTTATTTTTTTTTAAGAGTTTAGACCAATTTTGCCGCTAGATGCTGCAAGAAAAGACGTGATACCCACAGCTTGCACAGTTTTCTTCCTTCTAGAACATTTCTACATTCTACAAATTTCTACAAGTACTTAATCGAAAACACATTAGTGGTTTTGACTGCAAACGAATGAAACGTAAAATTTAAAACACTTTTGAGCAGTGACTCAAACATACAGGTCTGTTGAAACAAGCCGTTCAAAGGAACCGATTTCATTCACAAAACATTTGTAAATCCTTTTGAGAGTAAAACTCTAAGGTCTGTTTTTTTTCTTTCGATTTATTAAGCAGATTTGAACGTGGGGAAAAAATGTATCTGGCGAAACAAACACACAGGTTTTCAATTATGGCGGAATCATAGCCTACTGTTAGGCTACACAATTTTTATACTAAAATACACTTACCACAACACCTTCATTTATCAAATGTAATCGAGAACCTACGGGTAATAGGCAAATATTAACTGCTGCAAGTGCAGTAGAATGAAGCGTAAAATGCGAAAGACTTTTTGAGCGATGATTCAAACGAACCGCTACACCGAAACGAGCCATTCGAACGAACCGATTCGATAAAATGCATCGGATTTCCCAACGCTACTCTATGCCGAAATGCCGACAGCGTTAGTGATATGCCAGAGCACAAACCACGTGTTTTACGTAATGGAAAGGCAATCTTTCAATTCAACCCCTCCTCCTCCTTGTCTATATCCAACACAGATCCAAGGCAAAGAGTAATACGTGCGAGATACTTTTCGGGAGGCAACGGGATCAGTAATGCACAGGTGAAACATCAAGCCGCACTCCAACCGCATCCTCAGCATCAGCATCAGTGCAGTGCTTTCACATTGATGAAAGCTCATGGATATTACTGACCAGCAGCAGCAACAGCAGAAGCAGCAGCAGCAGCAACAGCAGCAACAGCAGCAGCAGGTTTTAGGAAGACTTCCCTGAGAAACACTGAGCTGATGCTGGAAATGTGCGCTTTGCTCGGAGGTATCGCTGCTTTTAAATGGGATGCATCCCCTCCAGGCTTCTGATGCCGTGCACATCCATCCACCCTTCATTTGAGTGATGAACTAACAGGGAACGCAAAGATCCGCCGTGTCTTTCACGTTAGTTTATAACGGGCTGCACGTTCCCCCTCTGCAGCACATGCAATTTATATTGTAGCCTATCTATTTTTATGACCTTTATTACTAAGAAGAATACCTTTGTTTTGCCAGGTCTAAAGAGAATATTTTACCTCTTGCATGAAGACGCTTGGATAGTAATACATATTTTTCTATGATACTACTGGAAAACTGAGCATCCCATTGTGTTCTTATTATTATGCAACCACAGGGATCTGTTCTTTATCAGGGTGTCTAAGCTGTTGGATCGCTCCTCGCCCAAATCAATGTGGTTTCTTTGGAACATTTTCAGCAAAGGAACGCATATGCTGCAGTGTCTTTGTGGCAAGAGTCTTAAGAAGAACAAGAACCCAAGTGGTAAGAGCCATTGCTGCGTCTTCCCCTCTGTGTGTGCTGATCTGCAGTCAAATTTGTGCAGCAAGTCAGTGAATGCAGGCAAGCTGAGGATAACTTGAGCTCTAGTGGTGAGACCAATCACAGATATTACAGCCGAAGGCTTTAACATTCAACTTTTTTTCAACTAAATCCCACAGGTATGTAGTGTTAAGACAGGTCGAACAGTCTTACTCGGGCCGTATGTGTGTGAAACATGCTTTCGGGTTCATTTCAGGGATGCTGCAGCATCCTTCTCAGTCCTGCATCACTTAAAGTGATGCTGCTCTCTGGCTTTCGTGTGCAGCATTTATTCTTACGTGATTATGTGCAGTGCAAAGACCTCATGTCATTTGTCTCTTTCTCTTCATTAGGAGATCATTAGCTTGCAGTTTATTCCAGTCAAAACATACGTACAGCTACCCTGTTGTTTCTCAACAGGATGGATACAGTTCAGTTTGTTCGACACACATTCCCCAAAAACAAATCACAACAAGGCGGTCTGCAGGGCACACTTGCGCAGTTTTAATTTAACAAAGCTGTTGACAAATACGGACATAAAGGAAAACTGTGCAGAGCGTGAGGGGACGGGTGGGAGTCCTAAGTTGATGTTGACACCTTCTTTCCTAGACGTTAACACTGCAGCGTAGTAGACTATAGCAGTTTTCCCATGCTGACATGACACATTTTTCCATTGTAGTTTAATGGACGCTCTGTCATTCTTGACACTGTAATTGCTTTTATTATAGTACTATAGCACATCATTGTATATTCCAAAAGCATCGATGTGCAGTGATAACGTTTGACAAGTTTGATCGAACAACTTTTGAGAATTTTTTTGGCTTTTTGATAGAAAAGACCAAACAATGTGTGAAATATCACACATTAATTGATTCGATTAAATCCTGCAGACATTTTATTGGTTACACAGATAAGTAAAGAGCAAATTTATCAGGCAAATCTCTATTCAAATGAAAGCTGTTACTGTAAAATACAGTTTAGGACCAAAGTTCAATCACAGCTAGCAGTGATTGTCTCTCTAGCGGTAATGTCCAGGGTGACGTGTTCATAGTGAAATGAAACCATCATTTTCTTTACTCTGTCAGTGATTAGAAGTAGCAAAGCGTGAGGTTTTTGATTAGTTTACCATGGCTATTACGGTCTTAGCTGCATAACATTAATGAAGAGAGCAGAGTGCTACCGGGGCCTGCTGGTTATAGTCTACGGCACACAAGACTGTATTTTTAGAAACACAACATGCAGCAGGGGCCGCATGAAGTGTAATCACCGTAGTTTAGTTCTGTTGTATTCAACATCTCAGTCATATCAGTTAGCACCTTCTTATATGCAACGTTCCCTTGATGATCCTGGTTCTTTTCTTAGGGAGAATTCATAGGCAACATTTTTCCAGAGTTTTAAAGAGTGGTTTGAATGGCTGCCTTCTGTTCCAGCAGATGGCACTTTCTGATAGCCTTGTGTTGGCTAATGTTTTCCTGGCAGGGACAAAGTCTTGCACTTGGCAATGTGGATTGCAATGAAGGTTTGTGTTTGCTGATGCTGTATAGGACTGAGGTAAACACAGGTTGGTTCTCAACCTGCTGGAATCTGTGCGCAACGTTACAGAACTTGCTCCCTCGGGATGCAAGTGAAGGGCCGCTTATAACCTTTCATTCATGAATGCCTGTAATGGCTGCAGCTTAATTTTTGGTTCTTTTATAAGTGTAGAAGACTCATAGGATTCACTTTCACATAGACAATCTGTTCTCAGATGGCATTTATTTATAGAATAGTTTGTCATAATGCTGTTAGATCATTCCTTTGTGCAGAATTGGCAGACTGGATCCTGTTGTGACTTCTGGTGGTGAAATAATATTAAATGAGAGATAGGCCTGTCGCAATAATCAATATATCGACTTATCGCGCAATATATGTACATGACCTCAATAATTTTTGGTGACGCAACATATCGCCCATTATATTTACTTAAAAATTAATGTCACCATGTTTTTTTTTTGCATTCCACTTGCGCCTGTGTCTTTTGCAGCTTCTCGTACATAAAGCGGTGTAGTCATGAGGTGCTAGTTCAAATTTAAAAAATGCTTCTACAAACAAAGTTCCATCTGCAGATATGGTCTTGTTTAGGGATCTGTGCCTTTGTGCATACGGACATCTGACTGCTAAGTAGTGATTGTGTTTT